GACGAGAGTGAGTAATTAACGAGCTCGTTAACGAGCATCGGCTCATTAACATCCCCACCGCTCATTAACGGGGTCACCGGGTCATTAACGGGGTCACCGCTCATTAACGGGGTCATTAACGGGGTCAGGTCATTAACGGGGTCATTAACGGGGTCATTAACGGGGTCATTAACGGGGCACAGCGCCATCCTGGCGGCGCCAAATCCTGACGAGAGTGCGTAATTAACGAGCTCGTTAACGAGCATCCACTCATTAACATCCCCACCACTCATTAACGGGGTCACTGGGTCATTAACGGGGTCATTAACGGGGTCATTAACGGGGTCATTAATGGGGTCATTGGGTCATTAATGGGGTAATTAATTGAATTATTATTGGGGTCATTAATGGGGTCATTAATGGGGTCATTACTGGGGTCATTAATGGGGTCATTAATGGGATCATTAATGGGGTCATTAATTGTGTCATTTTTGGGGTCATTAATGGGGTCACCACTCATTAATGGGGTCATTAATGGGGTCATTAATGGGGTCATTAATGGCGTCTTTGGATCATTAATGGGGTCATTAATGTGATCATTAATGGGGTCATTGAGTAATTAACCGGTCACTGAGTGGTCACTGAGTGGTCACTGAGTGGTCACTCACCGGTCACTCACTGGTCACTCACTGGTCACTCACCGGTCACTCACTGCTCATTAATGGGGTCATTAATGGGGTCATTGTGTAATTAACTGGTCAGTGAGTGGTCAGTGAGTGGTCACTCACCGGTCACTCACCGGTCACTCACTGCTCACTCACCGGTCACTCACTGACCATCACTGGTCACTCACTGCTCATTAATGGGGTCATTAATGGGGTAATTAATGGGGTCATTGGGTAATTAACTGGTCACTGAGTGGTCAGTGAGTGGTCACTGAGTGGTCACTGAGTGGTCACTCACCGGTCACTCACTGGTCACTCACTGGTCACTCTCTGGTCACTCACTGACCATCACTGGTCACTCACTGCTCATTAATGGGGTCATTAATGAGGTCATCGGGTAATTAACTGGTCAGTGAGTGGTCAGTGAGTGGTCAGTGAGTGGTCACTCGCCGGTCACTCACCGGTCACTCACCGGTCACTCACCGGTCACTCACTGGTCACTCTCTGGTCACTCACTGCTCATTAATGGGGTCATTAATGGGGTCATTAATGGGGTCATTAATGGGGTCATTGGGTAATTAACCGGTCAGTGAGTGGTCACTGAGTGGTCACTCACCGGTCACTCTCTGGTCACTCACCGGTCACTCACTGACCATCACTGGTCACTCACTGCTCATTAGTGGGGTCATTAACGGGGTCATTGGGTAATTAACCAGTCACTGTGTGGTCAGTGAGTGGTCACTGAGTGGTTAGTGAGTGGTCAGTGAGTGGTCACTCGCCGGTCACTCACTGGTCACTCTCTGGTCACTCACAGAGACCAAGCAGGAGCTCGAGGACCTCACGGCCGACATCAAGAAAACGGCCAACAAAGTGCGCTCCAAGTTGAAAGGTGACCACTCCGGCCACTGAGTGACCACTCCGGCCACTGAGTGACCACTGCCACCCCTCCCCCCCACTGCGGCCACTGAGTGACCGCTGCCACCCCTCCCCCCCACTGCGGCCACTGAGTGACCACTG